TGTAACTTTGCAGATATTGTTTATGCTCAAACAGCAACATTACACACTAACTAACATAAAAAAAGTGAAATCGCAATCAACCACCCCTTTAATGCACATTTTCACATATTTTGTCCCGTCTGTTGCTATGGTTATCACTATGTCAATCGCTGCTACTTCGAGAGTGAATCCCACATAAATATACTGCCGTCATTCCCGAAACTGTGTGTGGCCGGAAAACAAAGTTCTAGGCTACATTTTAAATGGATTATTGACTAGAAAGCTTGCAAAGAGTGCTCATAACCACTAAAAAGCTGTCACTCTTTGTTTAGTGAGTGTACACGATGTATTAGGCTATAACATACATCGTTCCGCAAACACAACCCCCCAATGTTCATGCTCCTCTCTTGGTCACTTGGCCACTGTAGTTTAGGATAAACAAGTACACCAACACAACATTCAATCGTCCGAATATTATTATCATCTTCTTTTAAATTAAAATATATGAATTAGGCGATCGCATATTATATAAAGCAAAGCAAACCATTTACATTAGTTTTAGTCATCGCTAAAAATTAAAAAACGTCGCACATTTTACCAGGATCGGGGAAAAATATAGATATATTTTAACAGGTCAAACGATAAGGATTATTGGGGGCACGGACATGTTCAGTCATGTTTATGGAGACTTTACAAAACAAATTGTTGCAACGCAGTTTCACAGAAAATTAAAGTTTCTACATCATATTTACAAACTTTTATATTCATATTTACATTATATTAATGAATTTTATACTCTATCTCCCATAATCCTACCCATCACAGTAAACTTTCTGCATTTTTATATTTTCATAAACATCATTTAATATAATTTATAATGTAAAAAGCTGTTATGTTCATGGGTGTAAATTTTGCACAGGTCAATCATTTTGAGTAATACTATAAATCTGGTTTACGGGGACACTCCATAGACATAAGGACTTTTACTGTACACACTGTACACCTACCATCACACAAGAATTCTGCATACATACAATTTTAATAAAATATTCTTTTAAGCGATCTGAATTATGAGGACTCATCATACACACATTTACATTGTTATATCAGTGTCATTATTCAAATTTGTGTTCTGATAAATCATATAAACAAGCACGCACATAAACATTTCAAGTTCTCTATATAATGTTGATATGGTAACTAATAAATACTGTAAATATTGTTATGCTAACGTCTGGAAATATTCAAACCACGTGTGTTACAACTAACCCGCGTTACTAGGTCCTCCGCTCATAGGAATATGATAGCTATGTCCTATGTCTATTTGAAATAATATGGTAATAAAATATATG